TTGAAGTTCTCTATTCACATGACTGATTTTCATCATCTGTAAAAAAAAAAATCAGAATAAAAAAAAATACAACTTGCATTTCTTGCAGTGGATAACTCAGGATTACTGCAAACTGACATGGCTTTCAACAAATAACGTGAGCCATAGTCAAAGTTTTACCCAATCAGAGCAGAGTAGGGCGGGTCTTTCTTTCTGAGCCCAGATGAGAGCACCACAGCTCCCCCTGTCCTCACCGAGGGTCTGGACATGTTCACATCCCTCCCTCCCAAACTGAGCTGCTAAACCTCCCAGGACATAATTACATGTCAATGTATTGTGGATATGAATGTAGGATGTACATTTAATCCACTTTCTTTCATTGATTCTGACACAACAATTTCTATGTTGTTCAGTTTTTCATTGAATTTCCATGATGTTAAACATGTTTATTGGTAACAATCTGCGGTAGCAGTAGGTTATTGCCATCACGCGTGGTTCTTGAATTTGAGGAAAATGGTACTGGAAAGTYCTTGAAAGGCCCTTGAATTTGATGTTGATTAAGGTGTGGGAACCCTGATCTAAACAATTCATCCCAAGCTGCATAAGAAAATCCCACACAGCAGGGAAATATTAGTGTCAAGATCAAGCTCACTTAAGCAAATTGCTGTTATAAAATAAATGGATTGCTTGCTTTCAAATTAAGTCAAACTGTCAAGTTGCAATTGTTGTTGCTGACAGTGTTCAAGGACCTCTGGAGAGCTTTCTCAGGACAGATAATCTTGCAAGAAGGAACAACAAGCCCACCAGAATTTAATATCCATATGGTACATTTCTTTTGACAAATTCAGACACAGAAACAAGGCATTTCCTGCTTGATGCTCTCTTTGATCATGAAGTCACATGATGGTTCCGTGAATATACCTCACTGGGTAGAGCTGCTGTTTTTGGTCTCAGCATACTGTTGGAAAAAGAGGAGAGAAATTAGAAATCACATGCTAATGTTCCCTGAACTATTACCTCATCTCTTCTCTGCAGCCGTACCTGAACCCCACTTCAAAAACACTGACTAAACATTATACAGAGTAAAAAGTTTGAATGACTTGTTGGTAGTTTTTAAGTCTCTGTATAATCCTTATTCTTCTGTACATCTCAATGCTCGATCCGCATGCTTTCATGACCTTTTATTTTAGTCTGTTTGCCAATGGGATACATCTAAATTTGGGTCATCTCACCAGAATTTGATCATTTTGAATTTGCTCCACTCGATGAACCCAAAATAAAACTGGCCTAAATTCTACAGTAGATGCTGTCCCTACTTAGCAGGCAACCATTGAGCTTTGAAACAATTTTTAATTTCACTAACGCGATTAGTAAATTGAAAGTTTCCCCTGCATTTTTGTTTAGAYGTTTTTGACCCTGATAATGACTTCTGTGTTACAGCATGTGAAACCTTGGGCAGGATCTGTTCCGCCAACATCACGCTAACAAGGATGTATTATTTCTAACAAATGCTCTCAGTTTTTCCACTATTGGCCAATTGTTTTAAGCTTGTCTTGTTGCTCCCTCAGATGATTATCTCTGGGGTATAGAATGCTAGGATTTCTGACAGTGTGCAGAGAGTCCAAACATAACTTGATTTGACAAAAGGAAGTCTGTCTTATGGTGTTCTTATCTCATCCTCTCTGCAAACCTCACATGCAAGAAAGAAACCCAGCGCCACAAGAAAAAGCTTTTTTATCAAATGGTTTTCAAGTTAAAAAGTAATTTATAAAGAAACAACCAACAGTAAAAGCTTCCCTGTCAAACAGATACTGTAGTAGTTCTACAGTAACTGTGCTGTTTATTAAGCCATTTCTTTCTAACTGTCCTTAGAGACCGAATGAAGTGATTGCTGCTGTTCACTTGGAGCTATGGCTGAGGTTGGAGAAATATTTCATGTGATTCCGTAACCGTTATAGATATTCTTTCACAATAACATCAGAGTAATTTTCAGTAAAATACAAAATACAATTTTGTTATTCTAAAACTGAGCAAATTATATATTTTTTGCAAGAAAACTTTGACAAATAAGGAGCATAAACTATTAAACCACTGGAAATAGTTGTATGACATTCAGTGCTATCAAAATAAATGTATAAACTATATTAAACTACACTATCGTAAATGTAGTGCATTTCAACCACCTTGTTACAAGTTTTCATGTTTAATGTTAATTTGAAGGAGATTTTTAAAGACTCAAAGGTGCTTAGAATACCAAAAACATCAAGAGCTCATCTTAAGATATTTATGCAGATGGGAAATTTTATCAGTCATATTTGTACAAATTTGACATTATGTTAATATTAAGACCGGATCAAATGAATATTTTCTAATTTTTTTTTCTGTAACAAACGAGGGAGAAACTGAAGGGTGATACTGTTTCTGCACTCKGCTACACTGTTTTCCCTGTTGGGGCAACGGATCAGATTGTACTGATCAATAATTTGTTCACCATTTAAGAAATCAGCCTCGTATTTACCAACGTGTGAGATCGTAAAATTTCAGGGAACTCTTTTCATAAACAATGACTACTCAATGAAGAAGAAACCAATTTTGTCTTTTAAAAATTGATTACAAAAAACAGAATGTTCAAATTTGCAATGATGGGTAAATAAAAAAAAACAGATTATAGATGTTGTTCAATCTGACTTGAATATAGATTAAATTAGATTTTAATCTTAGGTATCAAACAAATAATCTGTTGGACAGGATCTTGTTTTATTTGTTTATAAGATGAGATAAAGTTATAGTCAAAAAGTTCACTCTGGATTTTGGAACGAGGGAGGTGTGTTAAGATTTGTGTAGATTGTTAGGAAGTTTGTATCAACTCCAACCATCTGACTTTGTATTATTTTCCAAAAAAGAGAGGACAGTGCCTTGATCAGATCGGCTGGATGTTTAGGCTGTCTTACCTTTTTGACTGGTACCTGCTCAGGCTTACAGGGGCGGCTTGGCAGATCCTGATTTCCCAGGGTCCGTTTGGCTGTCTTAAAGTCACCCACAGGTGGACAGTGTCAGCAAAAGCCAGAAGTTTGCTGAAAAGTGGAGGTCCTATTTTGGCTGACAGACCTCTAGTTGGCTTAAGGCCACAAAAAGTATTTCTT